AAAAAAAAAAAAAAAAAAAATCTCCACCGTTTTGTTTCGAAACGTTCCATTTTCAACGTACGCGGGAAACGGATTATTATTTCGAAGCGTTGGTAAAAAATCGCGCACGAAGGGAAAACAAACATGGCCGTGAAACGCTAATCCAAAATAAGCATGGCGTGAAGTTCGTGCAAATCATGTAAATAAACAGAAGAAGCCTACGGCTGTGATCGCTGGAGGGAGGGGGAGGGAGGGAAAGAGCAAGAAGTTATCACGCGACACGTGCATTTCCGACAACAGCAGTATACAACGAAATGAAAATTTTCTCAATTCGATCGTAAAACGATCTGGTCGAGTTTCATTCTTGGAAAGATCGTTCAAACGAGAGAGGAGCATGAGCATCTCTCTTCCCAGGAAGATCCGTTGCTTCCTGTGGCCCCCATTGTTTGCGTTTCGAACCATCGGTATCACGAGCCGCCAGTCTGTTAACGATCAGATATTCAACGAAGTTTATTAGGCTAACAATTATGTTTTCACAGTGACATCATCTTTCTTGTTGTTGTTTTACTACAGATCGCTAATTACTGTATGTAAACGTGGTGTTAGAAGCTAAAAAAAAAAAAAAAAAAAAAAACGTTCGACGACACGGATGCATACGAATGTAATGTGAATAAGCGAAATTTTGATATTTCATCCAATTTATCGGAATTAATTGATAACGACGTGTACATGTATATACGAAGTATAAGTACAAATTGAGATAAATTGTAAAATGGATTTCGTAATTTAATTAGAAATCCTGCTTTCCTGCGCGCGTCAAAACAAGTTATATAACATTTTAATTACTTCTCGCATAAGAAGATAAACCAGTTTAAATTATTATCGCAATTGAAGAGCAACGCTCACGCAACGATACACTGTTCGTTGCACTTAACATTTGATAGTATCGATAATCGCGTTGTTTCGTCGTTGACACGTCGAACATCCTTCACGGAAGATTAAAAATAAGCAACTGAAAATATCGATTTGAGTGGCATTAAAAAATATGGAATTAAAAATACACTATGAGCTTGATTATCATCGAGCGTACGGGATACTATTATACGTGGCTTCTTTCTACGTTATTAACTTAACGAGATTACACGATTTTTATCTGACATTGATGGCCGTTTGTATTTGCAAACATATCGTTTGTATTTGAAGCATTCGTTCAGGAAAATCTTATTACAAGCTATCTTACACGCTTCAATGCACCAGCAACGTGCTTTTTTTTCTTTTTATCGTTTCGTACAATGAGAGCAAAAATTCACGACATGCTCGATTGGACTGTCAACGAGTGTGAGGAATGTATTTTATAAAGGGTGCAATGGCATCGATCGAAATTCACGTGTCAATCACGTGCAAATAAGACCAGCGGCTGTGCAACACACGCACTGCACAACTACATACTCGTCCTTTTAATTAACAAAAAAAAAAAACCTAATCTTACAAACAATAGAAAGCAACTGAGAATGATAAACCGATGAGAAAACAATGGATGCTGATGAATCTTTTGACACTGGTGCGATTTATTGTTTTGAAATCCGTTATCTATCGTTGCGCAATCTAGCGATTTCGAAAAGTGTAACAGTAGAGCAGGTCTTCTGTCAGATCGTAAAAACCATCGAACAATTATAACGGCAATTTCGATTGTCCGAAAATCAAGCGAGTGGTAGATAATTCGTACGAGACTCGTTTTATCGAAGATCTCTGAACAAAGAAACAAGACTTACCGAAATATTTGTCCGGCTCCAGACCCGAATCTTTGTCCAGTCCGCATATGACAAAATAATCCGCGAACCTCTGTGGATGTTGCTCTGGTCCGCGCATTATTCCCAGGCTCCCGTTCATCTTACCCGGGGAAAGAGATCAAATACGGCTCACCTCCGCGGCAGACGAAGCACCCTCACGAAAACGATTTCCACATTATGAACCTCCACGAAACTGTCATTTCACGCGAGAGCGAAATAACAGCTGATGTTGACACACGTATAGAACGTAACGCACGACTCCGCGGAGTGCAGGCCTCTCGCCGCGAATAATTGATCTTTACTCTATCGAGCGAAGTTGCCCGCGAGTCGATTTCAGTTGGCGCTGAAAGCTGGCGCGTAAGTTTAAATCGTCCTGTCCTACGCGGGATCCTGTGAATCAGTCGTGAATCACTCAGAATTCAAATAAACAAATTATACTTAAACAAACCAACGCACCAACCAAACTCTGTTCACTTTTGTTTATTTCTAAATTTATTCAAACGTGTCCATCACTCACGTTCACTGAAAAATTTGCAATTTCGAGCCTGGTCGTTTATTAACGTAAAATGCTTTGAAGGAAAGATCTGTAATCGTTATACAGTTTCATACGAAATCATATGTTTCAGGTGTAGTCACGAAACGTTTTTCAG